ATTTAGGCCCTCTTACATCTACACCTGCCTTGAACAAGGACAACGACAATGGCTTCTTCAACATTGACATATCCACAGTAAGGAACTTGAGCTTATTTAATCATTGGCCATAAAGCTTTTCTCTTGAAAACATTCCAGGCCAAATGGAGGGTATTAGAGTCTTGATACAGTGTCCAAGCACTAGTCCTGAACAACGCAAGTTCCAGTCCGCTCGAAAGAGGTAGACTCTGAAGCGAGGAATTCGTTTTGGAAAAAAGGGGCGGTACTCCAATCCCGCCTCCTTGACAAGTTTTCACGTGGCCAGTACAGTAGATCTAGCGCATTTACCACGTCAAATATTGTCAAAGGGTGCGGGATTAGTAGTACCGCCTCTTTTCTCTAAAGCAATTGAAGCGATTTTCTTGCTTCGGAGTCCATCTTTTTCTATCAGACTTGGACTGTTGCGCTAGTCAGAAGCAGTGCTCTCAAAATCCGTTGAGACCCCTATACCCTCCATTCAATGTCTTTTAAGGAGAGATGGAAAAGCTGAACCAGAAAGAGAGATTTCCAAAAAACCTTTTTTGGACATAATCTTTTTTCTTTTCTCTTAACCTGAAATCTGAAAAATCTCTCAGCCTTAAATCATTATGGGTCTAATCAACCCCATAAAATTTTTTAACCCCTTCCTCTACTCATTTTGCCCGTCACGCTGATGGAGGATGTTGCTTTAGGTTGTACCCGATGCCTCTTTCAAATATGAGCTTCCGGTGAAACTCCTAGAATCCGTTTATGCGAATACAGAAAACAGCTACGACCCGTTACTTGTCAAAGAAGAGCCATACACGGATGGGAGATGGTCAATCAGTTTTCAACAAAACCACGAAGGAGTTCTGAGGCAACCGAACAGCCCGAAACCGAGAACATTCATGAATTTAACGTATCACTTGATCGAACTCTATATGGCAATGGCTTCGAAGCAGCGCACACAGAAGTGGAGTGCCATGCTAATGAATCTACCGACAAAGGGAGATTATATAATTACATTGCAAACATCTCAAGGCTTGGCAATGCTGAAAGCCAAGGAGAACCACAGTTGACGACTAAATCACCAATGACATCCCACAAATTTATAATTGATTTGGATACGCACGAGGTACATCTTCATTGTCTTGGACATAGTTTGGAAGGAACAAGCTTAAAGTTTTCTTTTTTTTATGAGGAGATTTAGGCTGTGATCGGTCATGAATTTGTGGCTGATGAGAAACCGACGAGCAGCGCTAGATCTCCTTGCAGTAATCATGCTCCACCTGCCAGCGCTGGTAAAAACTCTAAACGCAAAAATAGGATCGATCCTAAGGTGCTTCGGTTGAGTATTATATCTTTCCCAGAAATGTACATCAGCGAGCAGCAAAGTATTGCAGGAGTGTTTAGAAACCCAAAATACTACAAAACATAGTGCAACAGTCACAGACAAGTTGGATGAAGAAGAACAAACAATTCAGTGCCAGATCCCGGTAATTCACTTGCCTTTTTAAAATATCAGATTGGCACCTAAGTTTTGCATCTATTTTTGTAAGTTTTCTCTTGAACTAGGCATTCACTATCTGGCATAATGCAGGCTGGAAATCAAGCTATGTCAGCTAAGTGCTTTGGTTTAATGTGTTCAAATCAGGCTGCAAACGGCTTCATTTTTTTATTAACCCAGTGACTCGAATTTCACCATTCCGGAGATAGCCTAATTTTTCTCCACTTCGCAGTCAAAAATTAAAATGCTCGCACAATTTTTATTTTGACACCAACCCACATAAGCCAAAAAATAAACGCGCACTTTGAGAGTCGTTGAATTATTTACAAAGCTTAGGTGTCCATTTATATTAGGTTGGCGGATAATTTCTGTTACACTTTTTTTGAAAATTCTTAAAAATTCTGGAAGCTTTCCAGAACCTTCAACATTCTCAACAATTCTGGAAGCTTCCTAAATCTTCAAATTTGCTTCATACGGGACACTCATGGCGTACACAACAGCATGGCTGTTACTGCAAATGCTAAATAGCTAACAAGTTTACTACAACTTTGTAAGCACACTCAAAATTGTCATTTTCTCTACGTCTAATTGTGTTTTTTCTCTACCATAATTTTCTACAACATAATTCGCATTGTCTCTTTTATGGCAGCACTCTGGTGCCGCTAGCATGTCAAAAACGAGGAGTGAAAAGCGGGTAAGGAATCAAATATTGACCGAAAATTTTTCTTTTTGTGTGCATCGTGTAGGATTTGACGCGGATAGGTTGGAAATGACTTTTGTGAATTTTTGAAAAAATAACTTCATTTTAAAACGTAAATGTGTGCTGTCATGGCGTAACATGTAATCATGTGAACGTGTGCGGACATGATTGTGCCATCCCCCATGTTCGCTAGAAGTTGTGGGCCATACCCTGCCCGATTACCCATCGCCCGGTCTCTCCCTGATCACCTGGAAGAATGCCAGCTCATCAGGGAAAATGTCCATAAAACTTACCCCGCATAAAGTGGGTGTTTTGGCGCGGACCACGGATCTGGCAGCATTGCTGGGTAGACTAGCATCCAGTTAATAATTTCTATAACAAAAAATTTGTGGAAGTTTCTTAGATTTTTTAGAAATAAAAAGAAAAGCGTAAAAGAAATCATTCGCCAATAATATTTTTTCGAAGATTAGTTAGAAATTAATTCGTTCAGATGTGTCATAAAACCCTGGTGTACCGCCGAAAGTA